AATTCTATGCACCTGAATTTTCCACAGTGACCCAATAAAAGTTCATTCTTCTGAAGGACAGCATCTCTTCTATGATATAGATATATCTATCTATCACACGCACAGTATTTCTCCAGCTGTATATAAACTTTCAAAGATCCACTCGCCTTTTTTTTCTTTCTGTTCAGCTGCCTTTTCATTTTCCCTCTGACTAGTCCCATAATGTTCAGGAAAAGTACCAAGAATAATAAATCCAAATCTCTGTATAAAATATACCTTCATGACACACTCAAGCTGGAAATCACAGGAACCAATAAAAATGCAGGCAGCCTACTGATAATGAGGTCAGAAATACAAATAAATTTACTTTTAATGAAGACTGGAGGCACAGTAATCAAAGTGTTAAAATTCATTTCATGCATATCTCATTTGCTTCTTAGCTGATATTTACCACGCAATTCTGTGAGAAAGTAGAGGCCTAAGATGCTCCAGATAAATGGCTCAATTAATTGTACAGAGGTAGACCTCTTTGAGCTGAGCCAGAGCTGTGAGCTCTTTATTAAAAGCACTATTCTGTAGCCCATAACCTTGTTCCTTGACTCCTCTCTGGTTTCCAATTTAAACAAGTCCCCATGCGGCCTGCTCTAAAGGGCTTTGTCTCCCTGTCATTGTTAAGAGAGCGGAGGCATCCTGGAAGTGTGAAATCAGACCTCATGAGTTGAACGGTTCCCCAGGGAACGCGGGACTGCGCAGAAGGTCAAAGTCATGGGCCGGACCATCTAAAAGTGTCTGATCGCCGGTCTGTGACACAGCAAGTGGGGAGGGGGCGGGTAGAATGAAGAGGATTGAAATTGAACACATCTTAATTAAAGCCCACAGACAGCAAAACAAAATGTTTTCTAGGCAGCCTGTCAAATGGGGCTTAAATTTAGCTCTGCTAATGAATCTGAGCTGCTAACTCTTATTTCTTAAGATAATAAGACTCTCCCTGAAGCTGATAAAAAACAACAACAACACAACAACAAAAACACAAAACTGTATCATGTCTTTTTCTGCTATTTTGTTACTTAAATATTTTCTAACAATGAAGACAGTTTTCCTGAAGGAAAAAAAAAAAACCCACGGGGAAGTCTATGCAAACGCAAGGGTAGGAAACATCTCTCTTAATAACGAGCGGGCTTCCAGACATCGGGCTGGGTGAGTTTAAGTCTGTAGGCAGAGGTTCGCTTGAGAAAAAGATATGCTCATTTAATGGGATGCCATCCGTGACAGAGTCTGTTAATGGTAAAATGCTCTCTTTCTCTCTCTCTCCCCCCTTCGTTTTCTGAAAGAGAGGGTGCATTAATTTGAGAGATCAATTCACCTGGGGTGGAGACGTTTTATATGAATGTACCTTCTAATAGAGTGAATAGGTAGGTAGGGCATCCTTTCAAAGGGTTTCACAGTTCTCCCATAGCGTGGTTTCTGAAACGGAGTGGCTGGTCTCCCTGGGGAGGTGGTGACCCCGTCCTTGGGACTCAAAAAAACACCACAGGGGGAAATGAAGGGGAGACGCTGAGGAGAAGAACCCCTTTCTCTTAGTACTTGAAAGACCCCATAGACCAGGTCTAAGTACTCAGCAAAGAAAGCTTCCCTCAGTCTAGAAGACTTTCCATGTTCTGTTGAAAGCTGAAGGAATTAGGTCCTGGCCAAGGAAAAGGAGCATTAGAAGCGAGAAAAGACGATTCCCAGCGTGCACTATTTCCGACCACCGTGGAAATGAAGGAAAAGAAAGAAAAGAAAGAAAAAGCCCCCCTCTCTGGTCTTTCTCTCCTCACCATCCGTCCAGTCCAAGAAACACTGGGTGCAGTTGGGGGAGGGTCTTGCCCAGTGAGTGTGCATGGGGCCAGGCGGTCTCTAGGTTTAGCCTTGACCGTGCAGAGAAACATTAACCTTTTCACTGGTTAGCTGAAAGGCCAAGTAAGTTGTACTGAGCAGTATTTCTCCAGGACCCAAGCTTCCCCCCCTCCCCACCACATTTGGCTGACCAACTTCTAAATCCAGAGGGCCACTTTCTCAGGCTGTGAAAGGCTGCCCACAATTCGACTGAAATTTCAATCCACTCTTGTGGCTCTCTCAATGCATGTGTATGTGTGGGAGTTGTAAATTGAGGCCTTAACCACCAGAGTTAATCTCTTTTTAAAATCTGTATTAACCTTAATGATTTGAAGTGCACTGTCCAACACTGGTCTATTGAGATGGAAGAAAAAACTACCCTCGACTATCAACAGTTTATTAGAGGCTTAACTGAAGTGACCTACTGTAGTAGTTGTTCAGCTGAACAAGGGTAGAGGCTTTTTGTGGAAAGAGAAAGAATTGAGGGTTTCATTAAAAAGTAATTTGTGCTTTATAGTCACTCATTCAAAGAGCGTCTCAATTGCTCTTTATTCACACAGAGTTAATACAGTATCACAATGTTTCTCAATGAATGTGCAGTAACAAAAGAAAAAAATTTACGCTTTGAAAGGGAAAAATTCTTTGTAACTGCAGTAAGGATGGATGGCTACTTAAAAGATTATAGCATCTTTCTCTCCTGTGCCAGAGTTTCATGATGGGGTATTATAATTTTCAAATCTCAGCTTAAACAGTGAAAGTTTAACTTATTACTCTGTGTTCCTACCATTAAAAACATTTCTCTGATAGCGCACAGTTGGCCAAATCTTAAAATTGACTAGGAAAAAAGTTGTCTGCTGTCACCCCCAAATTTCGTAATAATAGCCAACTTCCTTTTTGGATCAGGTCAGAAAATATTCTTGGCTTTGCACAGAGTTATCAGTGATTTAAAACCTCCTGCTCCATCCACCACACTCTTAAATGGAGGTGAACTTGAGGATTTGAGGACAGCACAAGTCCCTCGTCACAAACTGCGGCTTAAGATCTTGTAGGGCTCGACTACCGTGATACACTGATATGTCACATTTGAATGTGCTACTCTGCAGAAGCCAGAGATAAGTGCACGGAGAGGCCATTCGGACCCCAAACCCGATGACAAAAACCCAGAAAAATAAATCAGCATATATATATTTATGCTTTGCAGAAGTGAAGCTTATATAAAATGTTGGTGGCATATTCAGACACTCCTGAGTTAAAGATCCGATCCCCATTTTTTGCTACTGTAACAAATGGAACACAGGCCACAAAAGGTTCAAGAGTGAACAAGGTCAAAGATGGAATGATTCTCTTTTCCTGAATAGTTCAACATCTCTCTTGTTCAATTCCAAGCACATTAGACTATAAGGTCAGCTTGAAATGAGGAATCATTAGATTTATAGCCCGAAAACTTGAGGGGGGGGGAAATGGAGAATTTGTTTTTTACTGTTCCCCAAATCAACGTTCATTTTATCAGCATTATGTCTCCTTGTATCTCTAGGGAAAAGACTATTGTTGGTCACATTAATTTACACAGAACCATTAGGAGAGCAATATCTCTATTTTTCCCATCTTGGAGAGAACCTGTATTTTAGCTTCCATAGTGGTGGATAGGCCAGCTGGGTTAACATGGTTTGCATATTCATGAAGTTTAAAAGCCATGACAGCTTCTTTCCAAGAGCAGATAAACTTATATAAATGCATTCAACTTGCTCAAATGGGCAGGTATCTAAGCTTTGAAGTAAAAGGCACTTGTATTTTTTAATAACAAATTACTATGTCTAGATTAATTCTATTATAACTTTACCAGCAATATTTTTTAAAAGAAGAAATTGAATAAATCTAAATGTGACTATTTAGTAAAAAGAGTTAAGTCAGCATATATGCAAAAAGATGACAAACTATTGTTTCTCCCACCACTTCCAGGCATGCCTCTTTTGAAAGAATATTTGACAGTTTTTATTATCTTCTTGGTTACAAATGAGCTGATAATTATCTCTTTAAAGAAACTATATATTCTCACATTTTTATCACACAATAAATAGTCACTTGATAATATGCAAATACTAAAATTGAAGAATATTGTCATTTTGGAGCTAACATCTGCTATTTTAATTTTAAGGCATGCTACCTTTTAATTTGGTTTTGATTCTATCAATTGAATTAAAGAATATAACAATATAAGGATTTCTCAGATAGTAAGAAAAGTACATTCCTTCCCTTCAAATAAGTCAATTATTTATTTAGAGTCATTTTGCTGAACATTTAGCAAGAGTAAGCATATTTCCACAAGTAATAATTAGACAATTTCAGGTACACTATAAAAATTAGTCAACTCTACCATATTTACTATCCATCTTTTGAGATGGATAATTTATGGAATGTTACAAATCTCCATATATCATTACAAAATCAAATAATAAAGGAATGGTCACAGTTGCTGACTAAAAACGAAACAAGGGATTAATGGAAACACAGCCGCCAGGTTATTTGTGAACATGTCATACCAGCAGCGGTATTCAAATCAGGGCGCTTTCAATTAAGCAAATTTAGAGGTGGGATTCATGTGGGGATATTTGGAGGCCTTTTTATGGTTTTAAAAAAAATGATAACAATTTCCATGCTCTCTCAGTAACTTGGACAGCTGAAGAACTGGATCAGAAACCCCAATACCAAGTGACTGAGTATGATGCTGCTAAGCTTTCCAGTGAACCACATACCCAGATTGCATGCATCTGAGTTCCTCATGTTCTGGTTCTGTGATCTCGTCCGAGGGCAGGTGAGACTAGCTGAGTGAAGATGAGATCATATGATGGGACCCAAAAGCTATACCCACTCTGTTGCTTGAACGCTGGAGAAGATGACACTAAAAAGTTACTTTGCTTCTTACTATTTCTTTTAAATAGATCACCTTGTCTTATAAAAAGACAAAACCAAACCAGTGACTGTATAAAAATTGGGAGGCTAGCAGATTTTTGCCAGATTAACCCTTACCTTTATATTTCAAGGATTTACTTTGATGATCCAATAGGATAAAATGCCAATTTAGATTATTCCTGGTGTGGAACTCGCATGACAATGGGTATATGCCAGAGACCCTGCCAGCTCCTTACCTGTGACGTCAGCAGCCATCAGCCCTTCAGCTCTGATTACTTTCACTTGGAGGAATCCCACGTCTTTCAGGTTGTGGAATATCCGCAACGGGCTCTGAAAGACCCCAACATCAGTGTTAGAGATGAGGTCCTAATACATCCCAAACAGTGTGCTGAGAAACAGTAAGCGTTATGGTCTCTCTCAAGATGATGCCTAAGTGGTTCAAAGGGTCATTTGAATATAATTACTCGTCAGTGTACTCTTCCATCAACACACACACACACACACACACACACATATACACAGGCAAACACACACACATATTCGTACCAACATATTTATGTAGATATTTGTGGCGGCGTAAGTAGATTTGAAAAAAACAAAAAGACCATGACATTTCATCCCTCGACATGAGCCTCAGTGGAAGGTGGATATAAATGGTCTGTAAGGCTATGTCTGCTTTCTTCCTTGAGCTTCCCCTCCACAGCGCACCAAGCAACCTTTTATCTGTGGGTGTGGTTGGCTTGGAGACTAAGGACTCCGGTATTGAATCTTAAATTGTTGGTTGTATAACACACTACACTTTGGGGATAAGAAAGTGAACATTACACTAATGATTTTTTTTCCTGGCACTTTCTTCATGTTGAGTTTTAGAAATTGCTTGTGTGCGATGAGAGTTAAATCATCTGAAGACTATCTTGTGATAGTTAATTCAAACGAAGTCTGTTGTTCTATACATCTAGTCAGCAAAAGACATATAAGAGTTCATTCCGATAAATGACATTGCTGACTAACAATAACTTCAAAAGTCAACAGTGATGCTCCTGAAATGTGTCATTGCATTCTGTACATTCTACACGGTATAGAAATGGAAGGATATGAACGGTGGGAGAAGAACACGGTCTAAATTATACAGTTGATTTCACGTCATAAATCAAAGTCCACACTCTTGCCCCTGATCCTTCACCAGTAGTTCTTGCAGGGATTAAAAGAGGGGCACCAAGACAATGACCCTGCAGGCTAATCCATGGGCATAATTACCTAGTCAAATAAACCTAGAAAGGACCAATATGCATTTATTTCTTTTTGCTTCATAAGAGATCAGCATTTCTACTCAGGAAAGCCAACATGCTTCTGTACCATAATCTCTACAATGCCTCACGACCAGGGAGTACACTATAATAAAGCTATCTACTAAAATATTATCAAAGAGCATTCTCAGAGTCTTATTAATAAAATGAGAGTACCGACAAACACAAGCACAGTGATCTATGAACTTTATCAGTCCCATATGACTGAGCATTGTTTACACTGAAGTTCAAACCTTGCTATACAGAGAGCAGCAACTTTAGATACAGGTGTAATCTCATAGCCTACCTTTTTTAAAAAAATAGTGTTTATCACAAGGATTAACTCTTAATCTCTTATTATTTCTAAACAGCTGTTTACCATCCCAAATCTGCTTACATTCACCAGGTGACAGGGTTCACTGAAAATGCATTATGCCCTCCGTTCCTAAAAATCAAGAGTTTCCTGGGTGTGGATGTGGGGGTGAATTTAGATAGCACTGCCATTATCCAGAGGTTTGCAGGAATGCTGGTTTCCTAATGCAGCAGGGTCAAGTTTGGGAAGCTTTGGCCTTATCTCAGAGCTTACTCAACATTCTAAATCACATAAGGTTTCCTATCCTATTAGTGAGGAACAGTTTTATTCACAGGTGTCTGTACTTTAATTTTCAGGAGTCATGTAAAGCAAGTGTCATTGTTACTAAAACATGTATCACCGCACCTCCTGTGTGAGAATTGTCTCATACTGGGAACCCCATCCACAGACATATTGTCTTCTGGTGCTTCAGCTCCGATGCTTTGGGGGTACTTATTGTTTGAGGGTTTCCTTTCTTCCAGTCATCTGACACTCAGTAGCTTATTGCAAATGTCAAATATCCAGGCCAGTGCATTATAATAATCAAACCCATAGCTGCCGAGTTGATTTTGGCACATAGTGACCCGAGCGAACCTAGTGCAGTGGCCCCATAGTTCCCTAGATGGTAAATCGGTAGGGAAACAGAGTCACATCTCTCTCCTGTGGAGTGGCTGGGGGCCTCGAACCTGCAGATCTGTTGGTTCGTAGCCCAGCCAGTAACCACTGCATCAGCAGGGCTCTCTTCGGATAAAGAGAGGAATGACATAAAATAGAAAATAACAAAAGTATTTGTTTATGAATATAACGTTAAACGCTTCATAGGAGGTATTCCGGCTTTGTTATTTATGGTTCTTTTCAAAGCCTCCAAACCTGGGATGGCTTCTGACGCCAGAAATTTCCATAGAAGAGGAATCTATGATTTGCTGTGAATCCTTTCAGCCTTCAATAGATGGGAAAAGATTGAAATGCTCTGGAGAGGAGTCCTCTTTATTTTTTTAATGAAAGGCTGTATAATATATTTTCTCTATGGCTGCAGCAGCTGTCAGGGGGAGCATTGCAGTTCAGCTCTATTATGGGAGAGGCAATACCCCATCCTATGGCATCGAGATGCTCTGAGGGGCCAGAGCTGATTGACAGCTTGTCACCGTGACGTCTTATTCCATCTCTGTTATGGAGAAAATTAATGTCACACCACCAGCCTTATGACTCGCTGTCATCTTAGAACCGCTCACCTTTTATCAATGCTCCAAATAACATTTCAAGCCCATCGTCTCACGGTGGACAATCTGGTCAAGGGACATTAAATCGGATGACTGTGAAATGTCATAATAAAAATGGAATGCTAACAACTTCTTCTCTAAACTAGCTCCTCTGGTTTTTAAACTGTGACAAGGGGGAGCAAGGGTTCAGCATACCCGTTCTGAAAAGGTCATACAATCGCTCTTGGTCTACTACCCATTACTAACTGGCCCCCATTGACCTTCTCTCCTTCCCTCCCCCCAAAAGAAGAAAAAAAGAAAAATGGAATTAGCCATCTTTTCAGAAACGTGGTGATCAAATAATGACTCACACAGTAATGTCTGTTTAATTTGTGGGGCTTCGATGCTTAGCAATGAACAGCTAAATGACAACAACGAAGAGTGGATTTGGTTTCTTTTTTCTTTCTTTCTCCCCAGTGCTGTTTCACACAAGTGTGGGAGGAATTCATGGGTATTCCTGACCACAATCCCTAAGTTTAGCATAAACTTTTAAAGACTTGTGCTCTTATAGGGAAATGTAAATAATTCTCGTAAGGAATTCAACAACCTGTGTTTTATAGTTCTCAGAAACAGTGGTCTTTCAGACACAATATTGAATTTGTTCACTTGGCCATCTGAGTTATAAAAAAAGGGAATATGTTGAAACCCTAAGATGTAGGTTTTTGTCCTTGAATTGCTAGGAGTAAATTTGACATATAGGCTATATTGAATGTTGGAGTTTCTTAGCAAGTGGGTCTATGGAAGGTGATACTGGCCTATGTCAGAAATTCAGGGTTCAGTTGCTCTATTTATATCTATTTTGTGTTTAATATTTTGAGCATCATAGAATCTGACCATTAGCTGGTCCATTCTCATGTGATTTTATATCTAATCAAGAAAATAAGGTGCATTTGAAAGAAGATATAGGAACAAATCTTTAAATTCTGAATGGAAATGATTTAAGAAAGTCTATCCAGCAAAAAAAAAAAAAACAGAGAGAGAGAGAGGGAATCAATAAGAACTGGATTATCTCTAATTATATAGGCAGCAGTATCATTCTAATATATGAGGGAGTATCAATGTATGAATCTATCAAATATAGTACTGTAATACCTAGCAGGAATTTTATATTAATATACCAATTAAGTCCATGGAACTTTTTTAAAAATTCATATAGATTCCTTCTGGTCAGAAGAGTATGTTTTGGTGGGTACCAAAATGTGAAAGAATTTCCATAATTGCAATCCTCTATGATAAGATGCCGCACAATACCTGAGGCTCTTATTCAGCTTAAAAATATATACTATTTAGCCTTGCAAAGTCACCTCTATTAAACTGTTTATGATAACACCTCTGGTGGATGACTTGTACAAGCATTAGCAGACAGCTGATTCGGGGGAGATAGGCCGAATAAATTTGCTGAAGCGCACATCCTGCTAATCTGTTTGAAGAATATTGTAGGGCATTAGTACCAGCACTTCATGTTATCTGCACAACCTGATAAGGTACATCTTTATTAAATTCAGTTATTGAAAGGATGTCAGTCAGCAAATAGGAATATTTTAAAATCTAAAAAAAAATTAAGCGGCTCTTTGTCAGTTGGAGCTTGGTTTCATGGCTGTCTAGAGAAGCCTTCTCAACACCTGGCAGCATCATACAATACAAGCTTTGTGGTTTTAAGGGGGAATGCTTTCACTCCAGCGACACTGACCTGTGTGTGCTGCCATTGAAGGGCAATGGTGGAGTAAGAGCTCCCCTCCCTGTTGGCAGGGGAGAACTGCATAGTGGCAGAGGAGAGGCACCTTGCCAAGAGGCCGGGGTGGGTGGTGGGTGGGGGGGTGGATGTGGGTGCCACTCTGCACAAGCTGAGGAGGGTAGTTGTTGGAGTGACTCCCTGTCCCACCCTGTCACTCCACACTCCATCAAAAGGAAAGGAGGCTTTGTTTTCATTCTATTTGACGTTCGGCTACGAAATCATCCAAGAAAGAAAACCTGGCTATTTTTTTTCTTTCCCCCAAGTAGTTGAAAATAAAAATCATTTGAACGAATACTCTCTAGTTACCAAGCTACTAATTAAAGTGAGTGCCATTAGCTCCTTTTCATACTTGCAAAGACAAAGACATCTTAATTGCCACCGCGAAGAGTGAAGGAGTTATTGTTCAGGGGAGATTGCTGGGTTAACTTTCCTTGGTGGAAACTTCCCTGCACGATTCTACTGCTTGTAAAAGTCCCCGGGGAAAACTGCAGAGCCCCCAGAGACCGGGAGATGGCGGTAGGGAAGGCCAGGCTGTCTGCAAAGGCCGGGTTCCGCTGTGTTCTCGCAGGCTCTTGCTTCCCACAGCTGCCTCAGCACAGGTCCCACCAGGTGCATTATTTACACCATCAAGCCATCGCCGACCCCAGCAGGAGGAGGGTTACATACGTACATATCTCTTTAATATCGCCTCCCGTTCTTTCTGGTCCTCCAGGGAGTTGCCGGAGAGGTCAGAGATACAGACGGTGGCCGAAGCCGTCAGGGTGACCAGCAGCACCAGGTGTCCCGCGCCCTCTTCCAGCTGCAACTCCAACTTGTGCGTCTGTTCCCTACTGAGGGCTGACAGGTCGACCTGGCACCTGGAAATGAATGTTTGGAATCAGCAAGTAGCTTTCTTCTGCTTTGAGAACTATAAAACTCAGATCAATGGGGAAAACACATCAACAGCAAGAGGATTCCTACCATTGAGAGAATATGCCTTTCCTGTCCACTGACTTCCTTCACAAAGTTCAGACCGTGATTAAAAAAA